CCCCGCCTGACCCCACTCCCCTCCCAGAGCCGGGGAGAGAACCCAGGCGTCCTGGGGCCCCCCTCCCCCCCCCCCCCCCCCCCCCAGAGCCAGGGAGAGAACCCAGGAGTCCTGGCTCCCCGCCCCCCCCGCTCTAACCACCAGCCCCCACTCCCCTCCCAGAGCCGGGGAGAGAACCCAGGCGTCCTGGGGCCCCCCTACCCGCCCCCCCTCCCCTCCCAGAGCCAGGGAGAGAACCCAGGAGTCCTGGCTCCCCGCCCCCCCCGCTCTAACCACCAGCCCCCACTCCCCTCCCAGAGCCAGGGAGAGAACCCAGACGTCCAGGGGCCCAGCCACGCCCACGTCCCACCACCAGAGCTGGGATGGCAGATCCCCAAGGAGCAGGAATCCAATCTCCCCACCCTGGCTAGAGACCCAGTGACTGCTGAGCCCGGGGGTGTGTGGGTGGGGGGTGTCTGAAGGAGGGGTCTCCCCAGCAGAGGGTGTCCGGGGGGAGCGGGGCGGTGCTGGCCGGTACCGTTGGGTCTGACCCAGCCTCCGTGTTCTCCAAGACGAGTCCACTGACCACACGCTCCAGGTAGACGTTGCCCCCAACCAGGCCCAGCAGGACCAGCCTCCGGCAGAAGAGAAAGGGGATCACAGGAGGGGACAGGCCCCTGCCCCGTTCCCCGCCCCCCTGAGCTGCCAGTCCCTGCCCTGGGGCCGATGGGAGCCGGCGCCCCCCAGAGGGGACAGGCCCCTGCCCCATTCCCCGCCCCTACCTGGCCCCAGCGGTGCGCTGGCTGGAGGTGAGCAGCAGGGCGGTGCTGCCGGTCAGCAGGTGGTAGAGGAAGGAGCCCAGGGCTTGGGACTCCCCCACCAGGAAGTGATGCAGGAAGCTGAGGCGGTTCACGATCTCGGCAAAGGCCAGGCGTTGCCGGCCGGCCACCTCCTGCATGTCCTGAAAAGCCTCCCGGACACCTGCCGGGAGCCAGGGGCTGTCAGCAGCAGTGCCTCCCAGAGCCAGCAGAGAACCCAGGAGTCCTGGCTCCCAGCCCCTCCTGCTCTAACCACCAGCCCCCACTCCCCTCCCAGAGCCGGGGAGAGAACCCAGGAGTCCTGGCTCCCAGCCCCCCCCGCCCCACCAACCCGCCCCCACCCCCCCCCCACAACCCGCGCCACAA